TATGGTCAAAAAACAAAGCAAAAAATTTTTTAAAAAGCCAGTTCGGTAAAAGTAGAATTAGTCTATGACTCAGCAACTTGACTTAAAAGATTAGAGTCAAAATAACTGAAAGCATATGTTCACAAAGAATTGTGACTATGAACAACGTTGGCAGCAGTATTTAACACTTGAAAGGTAGAAGTTAAAGAAAAAAACCTCATCTTGGGGGCTGGCAAGATACTATGAAGACACCCAAGGATGCTCTGAGCATTGCCAGGCACCACCCTGGAGACTCCTGGGCACTGAGAGTGGCCGGCTAATCCCCAGCACAGTGGGACCTGAGCAGCACTGCATCTTCAAGCCCTTGTATATAACTGCTAACCCAGTTTGCTGAAAATTGCTAGGAGTGTTCCCTGTGTGCCCTGAGCACTGCTTAGGAGTCCCTTCCCAAGCAACCTCTCTATGTCTATAAACTAATAAGTGGATAATAACGGGTGGCATGCAGTCATACAACAGCACACTTCTGGCCATGAAACAGAATGAAGTCATGATACATACTTGAATATGAACCTTAAAATAAGATGTTGAGTGAAACAAATGAGAGACAAGTTTGTACATGCAATGTATGATTCCTATTTACATGAAACATCTAAAATAAGCCTATCCACAGAGTAAAAAACTAAAGTGTGTTTCCTAGGGAAGAAAGGAGGAGATGGCGGTGAGAATGCAGAAGAAGGAGTGATGATAGTTAATAAGTACAGAGTTTTTTGGGGGGGGTAGGGTAGATGGTAATAGAGTACTAATTGCATAACCTGGTGAATATACAAAAACATACTGAGGTGTTCACTTTAAAGGACAACTTAATAGTACAGGGAACTAAATCTCAATGAATATGCTATTTTTAAAAAGCACAAATAGGGCTATAATTCGGGCACTAACAAGGAATGAGATACTGTTAGATACTACAACATGGATAATCTTAAAGTCATAGTCATGGGAAAGAAAAGCTGGTTAAGCAGAGTTGAAGATAGGATATCCGACTGGAAAGAGGCATGAAGAACTTCTGGAGTGATGAAAATGCTCAAAGATTGGACCATGAGCACTACTGGAGAGTGCACTAAAGGATGGAGTGCACATTTTACATGTGGGAACCCAGAGTTCCATGTCCAGTACCACACAGTTCCCCAATAAAACTGGATTGTGGTAATGGCTATGCAACAACAAACTTATCAAAAATGATTAAACTGAACATTTGTAACAAGTCAATTTTATGGTATAGAATTTATGCCTAATGAAAAAATTTTTTTAAAAAGGGGGGACGCTTTCATGCTGCTGACAAAAAAAGTAAAGACTATGGTCACTTTAAGAAACTATTCAACAGTACCGAATCAGACATAAACAGAAATGTGTTCAAAAGGTTATGGATATTTTTTTCCTGGATGTATTTACTCTACAGAGGTATGTTCAGACATTAACTAAAACATAGGTTCAAGAATCTTGACAATCACCATGATGTAAAAACTGTTCATATATTCATGTATTTTGAAATGTACAGGGGCCAGAGAGATGTTAGAGTAGTTAAGGTGCTTGCCTTTCATGTGGCCGATCCTGGTTCAATTTCTGGCACAGCTAGGTTGTCTGAGCATACAGCCTGGAGTATACCAGGTGTGGTTTCAAAATCCCCAAACCAACTTTTCCCCAAAAAGAAACAAATAAATTCAGACACAGTTGGCTATGAGGAAAAAAAAAAACTATAATTTTTTACATGCAACAGCATAAATGGCTTTCAAAACCCATGAAGAACAAAGAAAGCAAAACACCCAAGAGGAATAACTAGATGATGCCATTAAACATAAGTTAAGCAACAGGTCAAAGTTAATCTTTGTTTCGGTTACCCTTGGGAGTACTTGCATAGTGACTAGGAATGAGGAGAAAGGTGTTTCTGGGAAGCTGGTGGTGTTAGTTTTTCTTTTTCCTTTTTGTATTTCTGGTGGCTAGCCCACAGCTGGGGTACTTAGGAGCTATTTCTGGCTCTGTGCTTAGGAGATTGTATGCAGTGCCTGGATCAAACCAGGATCCAATGTGCACCAGGCATGCACCTTAATTCCTGTTCTACGGCTCTGGTCCTTTGGTAGTAATGACAAACGTTTATTTCCTCTACAAATTCACCAAGTTGTTGGGCTGGGGCAATAGCAGAGTGGGTAAGGAGCTTGCCTTGCACACAGCCAACTCAGGGTTGATTACTGACATACCACAGTCCCATAAGCCCTGCTCGGAGTCATCCCTGCATGCACATCCATGCATAACCCCTGAGCACTGCCAGGTGTAGCCCCAAACACAACCCCCCGCCAAAAAAAATCACCAAGTTACACATGTATGTGTACTTTTCTGTACCTTATACTATAAGATTTATATTTTAAAGTTTTTTATTTTTTTAAAAATTGAAGTAGGGAGGTAATACAGAGGGCAAGGTGCTTGGTTTTGGAGGTGACTGATTTGGGTTCTATCCCTGATATCACACAGGGTCCTCTGAGCACCACTAGGAATGATCCCAGAGCAGAGTCAGGAGTAAGCCCTGAGCATAGGTGTGGCCCCCAAACCAACAAATAAGCGACTAAGCCCCCAACCCCTCAATAAAATGAACAACAAAAATAGTAAAAAAAAAAATGGGGGCCAGAGAAATAGCACAGGAATAAGGTACTTGCCCTCCACGCAGCGAACCCATGCCTAGTTCAATACCTGACATCACTTAGGGCTACCCAAGCAATGCCAGGAGTGTCTCTAAAGCACAGAATGAAGAGTAAGCCCCGAGCACTTCTGGTTGTAGTCTCCAAATCAACAACAAAATATTGCCCCTACATCTCTCTGCTTCTAGAAAGACCACAAAATGCTGTTGTACTACTCATATATTTACACAGTCAGCAAAGGGCACTTTAATTGTAGCAATTCTTTTTCAATGAAGAACTGATTCTCTCCCCGAGGACAGGTCCAGGGCTCTCCTCCAATTCAGTGAAAGACCTTTCAACAAAAGGTCTTGTCCACTTTGACAATTTAATGCAATGGGAACTATTATATTCTCTAACTTCCTTGGGTACTAAGAACCGTGTGTTCTTTCTGCACAGCTAATATATGAATGTTCAGCCCATTTTTCAAGGAAAGGACATTTTCTGTTTTATTTTTTGGCCACACCTAGCAGTGCTCAGGGGTTACTCTTGGCTCTGCACTCAGGCATCACTCCTGGTGGTGCTAGGGGATCATAGAGGATGCAGGAGATTGAACACAGTCTGCTGCATGCAAGGCACCTTACCAGATGTACTCCAGCCTCTTAAGCAAAGAACTTATGAAAGAACTGTCATAACCTCAGCAATTCTGAGCTACCAGATCTTTTGCTCAATTTTGACAGAAATGCCTTTCCCCCCACTTTTGCTACATCTACCTCTCACTGAATAGACAATCCATAAGGGCTCAACTTCCTTAAGGTAAATTCTCTGGGAGAAAAAGTCCAGTTTGATTGTTCTCTTTATTGCTATCTTGGCTTAAGATCACATGCCCATTGGAAGCTATCTATGCTGGCCCAAACTAAGACAGTTCACAAGTTTATGAGCTTCTTATCCGTCCCATCACTTCAAGCTGACAGATGACAAAAAGCCTTTGACATGTGTTGGCCCCAAATTACTTAAATCTCATGTTTCTAGATGGAATCTATTCAGACAAGTTTCTCTTTACTATCGACAAACAAAATCAGAGACAGAAAAGAAATGATCACATTCTTAAACCCTCTATCCTGTTCTTTTTGCTCCTTTTAAGAGACATGAGCCTAGAAAATGGGCACAGTCTTATCATCGGAGTGTGTATACATGCAGTTATTTGTGGATGATAATCCCATTTTCTCTGTTCCTATCCAGGTCATATGCCAATAAACCCCTTTTATTTGGGATGGAGAGAGTATTCCTTAAACTAAACCTCTCCATATAATTCACCACACCAAAAATACCACCATCTTTTAATCAGTGTTGATAAATCACAAAAATTCTTATGTTATTACCCAAATTTATAATCTCAAAGAACTGCATTGGCTTGGCAAAGCTTCATCTCTTAAAACCCACTGAAAATTTCTTGTTTCTCCTTCCCTTCCAAATGCGAGGACGTGGACCAGCCTATTTCTCTAAGTGCTGCTCTGTGCTCTAAGCCACAATTATGACAAATCATGAAGTATGAAGGTTGGTTCAGGAGGGTAGAATTAGATATTACAGTTTTTTGGAGGAGAAACTCATTTCACATGAGAAAGCAGACACAGATGGCAAAAATCAAGACCCTTGAAAATTATGGACTCATCTTTACTAAACTTGGGGATTAAGCTGTTCTACGAGAGTTTATAAAAGCCCCCTTGGGGCTAGAATGATAGTACAGCAGGTAGAGTGCTTGCCTTACATGCAGTGAACCTGGGTTCAAACCCCGGCATCACATATGGCCCAGTAGTGATCACTGAGTGCAAAGCCAGGAGCAAGCCCTGAGCATCGCCAGGTGTGGCCCAATCCCACTACATCACACACACACACACACACACACACACACACACACACACAGTTTTAAAATGCCCCTGCTACTTTGAGCTTGGTGAAGTTCTCACTGGTTGGACTATCCACAAGAATCCAACATACTGAGGCACTGGTAGCAACTCAAATTGAAGTCTGAGCTCAGAAACAAACGCATCTCAAACAGGGACATAGTCAAATAAACATTGAAAAGTATTTTTAGACATAAGCTGGTACTGTTACAAGGTAGGAGAACAGTGAATGACTAATGTATCACTAATCAAAAGGCAATTTTGAATACAACCGTGTCAATGAAGATTCCCCCAACTGCTTTTATTTAGAATCTGGACACGTTTCTCTTGGCAGAGAAACACAGGCTCTTAATACCAAGTTCCGGTGCTTGGCTAGTTTTGAACGCCTTTATAATTCACAGCAATTTATGATAAAACATCTTCCTGTGGGAAAAGGTACTTAATCCAAATCTACCTTTAGAGGCTTCTGTCCCCAGGGGGTTGTCTAAGAAGTCTGTCATGTCGTGGTTCCAGGCGTCGCGGACAGCTGACTTGGACACCACTCTGCCATTCAGGCCCTGTTGTGGCCGGAAGTTGTTTCTCAGATACTCCACCGACTTGACGTGGTCTTGCTGCTCTGTGGTCAAGATGGAATAAAAAGCCTCGAGCTGGACAGAAAACCAGAGGGTGGGGGGAGACAGAAAGAACATTCGTCAGAAAAGTGATGTGGCCCCAAGTGGGGAGGGAGCGGCAAGAGCACCAAATGGTCAGAAGTGTCTGCTGCCAAGTCTGACACACCCAGTACTGCCAAAGAGTTCTACTCAGCATGGCTTTTCCTGCCAACTACCAGAATAATGTTTGGGGGAATGCTCAGGACTCTCAGACTGTGGCTCACACAAGACATCCAATCTTTCTACAGTGACCCCATGGCAAGGCTGTAAGTATTACTTCCGATTTGGGCCCTCCCGTTGATCGTCGATTTGCTCGAGCGGGCCCAGTAACGTCTCCATTGGAGACTTTGTTGTTACTGTGTCTGGCATATCGAATACTCTCGGTAGCTTGCCGGGCTCTCCGAGAGGGGCGGAGGAATCGAACTCGGGTCGGCCATGTTGGCCGCTTGTAAGGCGAACGCCCTACCCGCTGTGCTATGGCTCCAGCCCAATTCACACCCAAACTCAGGTTGTGTGTTCAAGAGTGACCCCTGGCGGTGCTCAGAGGAACACATGCCGCCTCTGGGATGGAACACGGGGCTGCTTCTGCACAATCTCTATGCCCCACCCCGCAAATACTATTTCTTAGGAACAATCAGGTATGAAGAAACTGAAACATTCTGGAGCCAAACTGTCTGCGTGGAAACACTAGCTCTAACACCCAACCACTTTATGACCCTGAAAATGTTGATGATCACCTGTGTGCCTCAATTCTTCCTCAGAAGACAGATAATTATAGCAGCAGTTCCCTCACCAGGCGTGTGTCAGCGGCATTAAATGAGATAATACATGGACAGTGCTGGAAAACCGTTCCTGGCACAGTAAAGCTCAGTACTAGTCATTTAATTCTTATCCAGCATCTTCTTACCTACTGGGGAGGGATCCAATCCTGCAAAGGTGCTAAGTCACAAAGTTGCTAAATGCATCGTTGGCCACTGAAGCCACTCAAGTTTGACATTTTTAGTAGAGGCATAATCATAGTCAAATTCTTCTCTTATTTTCTCATCTCTAAAACAGATTGGGGGTCAAGGAGACAGCTTAAAGGGATGAAGTGCATGGTTTGCACACACGGGGCCCAGCCAGACCACTCCCATGCCAGCATCATCTCTGGGGCCCTTGAGCACCATCCTGGCAGCAGGCCATACGCACCGCTGGGGGGTGGTCTCTAAACAACAAATATGAAACAAACATAGTTCTGGTGACTATAAGGTTATTCGGGCTGGAGCAATAGCACAGCAGGTAGGGCATTTGCCTTGCATGTGGCCCGACCCGGGTTCGATTCCCAGCATCCCATATGGTCCCCTGAGCACTGCCAGGAGTGATTCCTGAGTGCAGAGCCAGGAGTAACCCCTGAGCATTGCTGGGTGTGACCCAAAAAGCAAAAAAAAAAAAAAGGTTATTCAAGATTCAAATTTATCTAAATTACTGAGGACCTGGTAAGCTCTCAGTAAGAGTAGCTGCTGTTAAGATTACTGAGATCATTAAGCAACATTTTTTTACAAGACTGCTGACATCGCTTTTATGGGGGGGAAAAACCCAAAATCAGTTTAGAACTTCAGGTTCACATTCTGCTCATTGGGTTTTGTTTTTTTAGATTCCTATTTCAGAGAGGAATGGAGCACGGCAGACAGAGATTGGTTGTCAATAGACCACAAAGTTATTCCAGTCATCCAAGAAGTGGAGTAGAATCTAAAACACCCTGTCACCAAGAACACTAAAACTCCTTGGGCTACGTGAAGAAAAAGTGATGACCACCAGGTCCCGCAACACCTGCAGGAGAGAGAAAGGGGCTCACTGTGCCACACTGACAAAAGCCCTAGGCTTCATGGGCTTTCAGAAGGTGGCTAACATCCATGAGGAAACTGAAAAGAGATTCCTACCCTTGCTTCCAGCAGGTCATTTGGAAGACTACAAGAAACTCTAATGTTCCTCAACAGCCTCACAAAAAAATGGGTTTCCTGCCTGGGCTTCTTTTCTTCTCTTGGCATTAGAAAGCAAAGAAGGGCTGGGAGACAGGCTAGGGAGGGTGCCTGGCAGGAGCCCACCTGCGCTGAATCCCTGGGTCCCATACTGTTCTGAGTGTTGACAGGAGCAGCCCTGGAGGTCCCCAATGCCTCGTGGGGTATGACCCAGAAGGCTCCAGTATCGCCTAGGTAATTCATGGCATCACAAGTTGGGAGCAGCGTCAGTGTAGAGCTCTTGATTGAACCACCAGCCAGGTAGGCTGAGATGCATTGGGTGGGGGTGAGATGGGGTCTCTGAAGCCTCCCGAGCACGCTTGAAAGTAACCCTTTCCCCCCCGCCCACCACTAAGAAGCAAGAAATTAGTATAGTTATTTTAGCTGCAATAATGTACATAATTTGATGTATGTTATTGCATCTATCATTCTATCTCTCTAATTCTCTTGCAAGTATATCACGATTTGAAACTCTTCTATTTTTGTCAAGGTAATATCATCAGGACGGTCTCTAAACTAGTCAGCTAGTGAAAGCAGGGCCAGAATGGAGCTCTGAGGTGATGTGCATTCATCACATAAATGGGATCTCTGAGACCACATGGAGAACAGAAAAACAAAAGCAAAAAACCCAAAGTAGCTCATTATCTTCATGCTCTCCCAATTCTCTACCATTCATCTAACTTCTAATAACTCACACAGATGCTGTTTCCAATTTGTCATTCTTCCCAATCTTTCTGAGTTTCAGTCTTCATTTTTTGTGAAGGGAGAAAAGCAATAAAAGTGGAAAAACAAAGGAAAGTAGACTGTTCTAAGTGTGACCCAGTCGGATGAAGACAACTGGAGGTGTTGGAAAGAAAAAATCCCTCAACCTAGTGATATGTCCTCCTTGACAGGCTTCATCGTCAAAACTGAATCTAGCAAAATATGTGAGAAGGTTTCAGATTTTCTTAGATAAAAAAGCTTTGAATTATATAAAGGAATGAACCAAGACCAACCCTCTGGAGACAGTCTACGAAAAGATGAACAAAGTGATTAAAAGGGATTGAGGAAAACATCCTGTGTGGAAAGGTTAAAGGAAGTGGAATTGTTTTGTCTGAAGAAAAGGCAAGTAAGGAATAAGTTGATTCAATGCCCTGTATATGGAAGATGCTGACTGCCTCTTCTCCATGTCCTAAGAAGGCCAAATAAGAGGAAATTGGTTTAAATTAAAGTCGGAGAGACGTGAGTTGAATAGAGGGAAGCATTTCTTAATTTTCAGGGTGATTTATTTATTTTTTTAAAAACTGGACTAGGCTACCAGCATCCATTGCCAAGTTAGACTGAAAGTTTTCTGGAGGAGACAGCCATCAATTTAAAAATGGTCTCACTCTGAGATGCCAGAGGAGGCTGGTCTTGAGACCATCTCAGCAACACAATTCTCTGGGGAACTTCGTCTCTTCACTGTGGTTCTTCTCTGGCATACTGGCTTCTTTCACAGTTAGCATTTAGTTCTCCAAAAGTTTATTTCTAAGGTCTCAGGAAAGAATTAGTCATGTAACTGTAAAAAGGAAGCAGGTTCTGAATTTAACACAAAAATGCTTTTGCTTAAATTGCTCTTACAGCTTAATGACATACTATGGTTTAAAAGCTCAGCTGCTTCCCTGTCACTTATTCAACTTGCCCCGGGATTTTGAAGGAAGGATGTGATGGTTCTGAGCGTGAACTGATGACCAGAACGATATTATATTGTCAATGGGATCACAGTTTCCCTTGACAGTCGCACAAAAGAGGAAAAGCTTAGCAGACTCATCAAATGTCCTCTGATGGGTAGGCAGTGTTCACGAAACCCTGTTCTCCCTCTCAACTGAGTGAAAATTGCCAGTAGCTTCTTTCGCTGGTAACTAGCATGGCTGATCTTTGAGTAAAAATCCTCCATGATCTACATTTTCCACTTGGAAGAAAAGATGCGAGTGTATGGGCTAGAAGCCTCCTGACACACCATCAGAAAGCTCCTTCAGCTTCTCCCCTGGTTTTTGCCTTTGCCTGGTAATCACACTTGCTAAGAGTGACCTCAACCATCAAATGATCCTTCTCTTTGCTGGATTTCAAGAAACATCATCTACAGAGACTACAAAGAAAGAGTCTTCCAGAGCTGCACAAAACGGCTGCCCCACATGCAATGGGCCCTAGGACATATAGACAAAGCCACGGTTTTCTGGGCCTTTGTCTGCTGCACATGCTTTGTGCTAGCTGTCTGGGTCTTCAGATCTGCTGCACAGCAGTCCTCGTAGAAAGTACATGAGATCAAGTCACACTCTGCTCAAAACTTTTCAGCAGTTTCCTGATGCTTATAATGGATTTGTGTTGGATTCTCCAAACTTAAAAAGTCCATATTCTCACTGCCTGGCTTCAATAATACCCTATCTTTAAGCCTTCTGTCCTGTAAATGTGTGATCTTGATCTGAGCATCTCCTTCTGTGTCAGTATTCTTACTTGGAGAGACAACATCATTACCTAATTCACATGACAGCTCCTAGCATGAAATGGACTACTATATAGAAAATACTTAGAATAATCCTTAGTAAACTGTATGTGCTTATTTAGTGCTATCATTACTAATGCAATCACCACTGAACCCAAACTTACTGTTAAGATACTCTCTTTGGGCACCAAAGACATAGTACAATGGTTAAGGCACTTGTGTCCCATTGACCAGTCCTGGTTAGATCCTCAGCACTGTATATAGTCCTCTGAGCACTTCTCATATTGATCCCTGAGCAGAACCAGGAGTAAAACCTCAGCACTATGGAGCATGGCCCCCACGCTAAACAAAGACATTCCCTCTGAAGGACAGAAGTTACTACAGAAGTTACAATGCACAGCTGGCAACCCCAGTTCAACATGCAGTACCATATTGTCAACCAAGAATTGTTGTGTGCAGCCTCAAGGATTTTGAGGGCACCATATCTTCCAAACCTCTCACACCAAACCAGCAGCAAGGTTGGTCAAGAATCCCTGGGA